ACCAATCAAGCCCAGTGACACTCCATTTATTTTCCATCACTCGAACACTGAAAAGTAAAAAGATATATGAAATCAGATCCATTAAATTCTAAGATTTGATTTACATTTCTAATTAAAATTGTTTTTGATCATACGTATAGATAATTATATAAAAATTCCAAAATTCTAAAATTTCAAATACATACAAAAACAATCATATATAAATTTTAAATTTGTGAATATTAAAATTTTATATTTTAATTACATATATTCACCTTGCGCTAGGCGCAGGTCTTATCCTAGTATTATAAATAATTAAGGATTTTGTTTGTTTTATAAAGTTTAGAACGTGGCTGATTAACCTACTCCTCAATTCATATTTTTGTTCAAGAAAAAGTCTAAGTAACGACAAACCGCCTTAATTATTGTTGTTAGGTATCAAACGTAAGAAATCTCAAGCTTGAATAATTGAATATGTGTATGTTCTTCCATTTTTTGTCGGCGAGGTTGATTTGTAAGTACATGCATACATACTGTTAACACAAATTTAAGTTCTAGAATCCATATTACTTTTTCCTTGTAGAATCATGACTAAAATAGGAAATAACAAATTCTACGCGTAATAAACGTACATTTTTAATTTGAAAGTTTGTTTATATATCATAGTGAAATGTGAGTAAATTAATGTTTGGAACTTCTAGCTTTAGTGTTAGAAACCTCTTACACGACAGGTTGATGTGTCACGTTCGAGTTTTTACTATATGTGATGGAATGGACATTTATCAATCGGTTCTCATCTTCTCAAAAAAATATATAGATTTTTATCCATAATTTCTTGAATTCAACAAAAAAAAATATGGGTCAATGATCGAAAAAAGTGAAACATCAAACACAAATAAAATGCAACAATCTTTGGGAAACTGTGTAACCAAACAAGTTAGTCTGGTGGTAACGGCCACCTGGGTTCGACACATTCTAGCCACTGTAATTTCACATTCGAAGTGCAGCGACACAAATTAATCACTTGTTTCTAGGAAACCTTTGAGAAAACTGTATATAATCAAAAAAAAAATCCAAAGTCATTACAAACCAAAACCAAAGATAAAACCAAGTTGCACGAAGATTTGTTGTATACTTTATCAAAAGCTTCTAAGAAAGGTGGCGACACTTGTAACGGACCAACCACCATAGCATTTCAGTTGATTGCAGGGAAAGGGGTGACACTAACTCAATCTCAAAGTTTCACAACAAATGACTCGTTATGTCTTTGATTCGGAACGTGTTTGCAACAGACATTACACGAACTATTGAAGAAACAGAACACAAATTCCTGCCAGTTCATGAGTTTTATGTTATTGGTTTTATGATATTATCTATGTTTAGAGAGGCATAATATTTTGGAATCTATTTACGTTTATTTTAGATCATCTAGACCCACCAAGTCGAATTGGCATATTTATTACAATCTTCATATGCATTTGAATTTGTGATGATATAGACCAGAACTAACTGGTGATGTAGTTAAGAAAATATAATATTATCTCCCTTGGGAAATTCAGACACCTAAACCAGCTCCGGTTCAGGTCTTGATTAACCGGTTGAACCAACAACCTGAGGAACTCCTGATGAGCAAGAGTGAGTATCAGGTCCTCTCTGCCTCTGTCTAGTATTGTATGAACCGCAGCTAGTGCACTTATGCGCGATCAAATGAAACCGAACATTCGTGTTTGAGCCACAGTCATTGCAAAGTATCCATACCTAATCCAAAACCCATCACATTAGAATCCAAAAATATACATATACAACAAACACAACCTCGTAAAAACAGTTTTTCTTACCATCTTGTCTTCGTACATTTTTGGCATTGGGTATGCAGCAACCTGCAAAAGAAATTTGAATGTACAACTCAAAGACCAAAAGAGACTATACAAAGGATACTAATATTAGACTATGAAGCGTTACCTCTTCATCAAGTTTCTTCCACATGTTGGACATGTCACATATGGATTTGGAGCACACAGGGCATGTGTATCTACAACAAAGCATCAAGATAATACTCTGTTTATCAGTGACTTCCTTCACTGGTCGCATTAAAAAAAATTGAGACTTGTTTTACCGGTTATGCAGCCCCATATCTCTGGTGCATTGTAGATGCATTGTGTGACCACATCTCAAGACCGTGATATCTCTTGTGGAATCAAACAGATACTGAGACACAAATATAAACCAAAATCAAGACACTATTATGTTGCATTAGTTAAGAAAATTGGCTTGGTATGATTCTTTTACCTCAAAACAAACAGGACAATTATGATGCATTGCACCTTCCACACATTGGTGCTTATCCTCCATAACTTTGGAGTAGCAACATCCTGTCTCAAGAACACAATATAAGAGGTAGAAACAAACATTTGTGGAAAGAAGAAACATAAAGGTTTTGTTGTCTCTTACGACATCTTTTGCAATGGAAGAAGTTTTCTTCTCCTCCGGTCCTATCAAAAACCAAACATCATTGAGATTACTTATCAACAATCAGTTACCAAAAAAAAAACACAAGACTTTTTGTATTTTCTTTTGAATTGGTACCTGCAAATCCCACATTCATCGCAGTGATATTGCTTCTTGGAAAGCTGAAACAACAACCAATGTTGAATTTCAATATTACAAAAACTCCAGGGTTATAATTCTTGATTGAATAAAAACTTACATCATCGTCAAAGAACTTGCATTTTGAGCAAAAGTACTTCCCCATACATACACCACAGTTAGAGCAGTTCTGCTGGACCTGTAAGAAAACAAATCACAGGTCAGCATAAAAAAACATGTTTATTACATAATTAACATAAGAGGTGATACTCACATCTTGTTCTGTCTCACAAAGCGAGCAAATAACCTGAAAGAAAAAAAAAAACAGAATCAAAATGATTTCACAGTGAAGAAACAAAAATGTTTCAGAAAATTTTCAATATGAATTCCAAATAAACCTTTGAAACATCATGTCGAGGAAGATCATGTCTAAGAAGCTGTTCAATCTGAAGAGAATCCTGTTCAAACAAAACTTTAAACACATTAGCTATGTAATAAGCTTCACATCTACAACACAAATTAAAAAAGATGATTCCTTTAAATATTACTATTAGTTTTAGATACCTTAGCTTCGTTGTGACAGTGTCTGCAATCGAAAACTTCATCACAACAGGGTGCTCTAATCTTGCATCGTCTTCTATAATGTGAGCACCTAAAAAACACACACACACATACAAAATAAAGACCAGTTTCAACATATAAAGCTTGAAACTTTAGATTCCACAAAGATGGATATGAATGTAGTTTACCCGTAATGCCCAGATCCAATCTCCATAAGATTGGTGAGTTCTTGGTTTTGATCATTTTCCTGGAAACCCATCTCCATATATTTACTTAAAGGTTTGATCTTTCAGATTCTACAAGAGTAAGGAAAAAAACGTAAACTGGAGAAATGCTTTGACGTTTGTTAAATCAGATTTTAAGGGGAGGAAGCAGGTAGATATTTGTTTATGTGAGAATGATGATGATGATGAGAGAGGTGACTCGGCTACACGCCAGATTTTTATCTTCGCCTCCCCAATCATTCTTTACATATCTATTCAATTTTGTTTTGTTTGTTTATTTATTGATGTTGAAACCAATGCACAACTCTTTGAAAGCTATAGTACATTAAATTCAGAAAATAACATAAGTTAAATAAAAAAATTCAAAATATCAAATTAATAATTATTATTTAAGATTTAGTATTGAAGAAGTGGAGTTTGTTTATAAACTTAAAAATCATTTACAAGATTTAGTTTAGTTTTGAATTATATATTTAAGATATTTGCGAAATTAATTATTTTAAAATATAAATTAAAATAGTGATATCAAATTTTTAGTAAAATTCAAATATCTTCTAAATTTAGCGGTTACATATTTTTTTTTCTTTTATGCAATACACGTTCTAGTTTTGACAAACTATATAAAATTTTTGAAACAAGAATTAAATATACTGTGTGATTATAAAAGAAAAATCTATGATATGTAAACCTTGAAAGAAAAAATTGAAAAAAAAACCTTTGAAAGTTAAAAGATCCTATTTCGGTTATTTTATACATATCACCCAAAGTATATTAGCTTAATATGTTTATATATATATATATATACATATATTAAACAAAATAATTTTTCGTTCCAATATCAATTTTTTTGGTTGAAATGTGGGATATTTCATGTTTTGTGTGCACAAATGCAAAAATTAGAGAAAGTAAAGAAATTATGTGTTTGCATAATTTAATAAGAATTTGAAAATTTTAATATAAGGAGACATTATTCAACTTCTCAAAATAATATTCATTTTTTCACTTTAGTCCCTACAATTATATATATTTCACAATTGCATGAGTAATTATTTATATATTATATTTTAGTACTTATCGTATATTTTTTTTAAAAATCAATTAATAATATTATCAACAATATTTACACTATATATATTTATATTTGACTACACATTATTATATTAAAAAAAATTAATATCCTTAAAATAATAGTATGTTTTGGCTTTTGAAAGATTAACATAACCTTGAAACCAACAACACTGTGCAATCGCAATTGATTGAAGTCTCACATATTAGATACTAGATCCATAACCCCCGCGCAAGCGTGGAGCCGCGATCTGTGTTTTTTTCGGTTGTTGGTTTAGTGGGTTATTTTAATAATAGCAAATAATAATGAAATGAAAAGAATGTAGCAAGAGTGTAAAGTGAAAATATTGTATATATAATGTGTTAAATATTATTTATATACGAAATAAGGTTTATAGGAATAATAAATTATAATATAGTTTTTAGTGTATAAAAATAGGTGTCTATATTGTTTTTTATGTTGTAAATAGTTTTTATATTGGATGTCAAAACTTGATATAAATATTTATTTATAGTATTTATATTTGTACTAAACGATTTATCAATTTGAAAATAACTATAATTTAAGCTAATATTTGTTGTTTGGGTTTCAATAGATAGGTTTGGATATGTTTTTTTGTAAGTTTGAATTTTGTTCATGAATAATGTGGTATTTTTCTTTACGACGTCATCGACTGTGGAAATCCATCCGCCGGAGTGTGATAAAAATGAAATTATAATAACTATTAAAAATTGAAGAGAAATTACATAGTTATTTTATAAATACGAAAAATATTTTAATTTATTTTATTTCACATACATAATTTTTTGAAAATATATATTAGAAAATATGTTCTAACAGTAAAAATATATATATTAGGACATGATAGTGCCGCGTGAGACTCGTTTTTTTTTTAAACTAAAAAGCCCATATGATAATAATCCAAACAAAAAAACTAAAATATATAACAACTGCGCGGTTTGAACCAATACACTTGCAGACTTAATTAGATGTCTTATATCACTTTGCTAAAGTGTATTCATTGTTTATATTTATTTTAAAAAAAACTATAAACTTTTAAAATTTAAACGTACGGGATCCACAAACTTGCTGACGTGGACAGCTTAGGAACCTTAGAAGTGAATTATTATAATATAGATTGTAGTGTCACTTTTGTTAAAATATCTTTTATGATTTCATTTCCCTAAAAGTCATTTATATATTTCAGAAACTGTATGAAAAAATAATAAAAAGTTGGCTAAAATATTACCAAAATTATGTTATCAATATAAAAGAATTTGTATAATCAATGATTTGGTTCAGTTGGCGCGCCATTTCAAGAACCTGGTGGTGTGTCAACGTCAATGACAATGTCATGTCTTAAAAAAAAGGCTATAAAAAGCAGAACAAGATAGGATTGGATAGGATCACGCATCTTGCTAACTCATTTATATGGGTCCACTCTTTTATATCCTCACCACTCGGACACTTTCGTTGATGTGCGTTTTACCCGACTATCACCTATCCAAAAATAGACTAACAAAGAAAAAGAAGCCTAATAATTTATCTAGGGCCACAAGATTTCTCAAATCGCATCTCTATGCACCGTTGGATCTCTATTAATAATTCTTTAGGTATATAGATTTTTTTTTTTTCGAACTGAGGCTTAAGTATATATCAATGTTATATTCGACTTTTTCGGTTCAGTATTTTCACGTACTATTTGTATGTTTGTTTCGTATAATCTATCATTATTTTAACACCTCCAATAATGTATCTATAATTCTATATATGTATATATACCTGTTTGTGTATTTGTTAATAAGGTAGATTTAATTTACAGCTCAAATGTATTATAAAAAAGCTGGTCACAAAGAGAACCAGCTACCTATACTGAGAGACAACAGACAATTTCAAACCAAACTGTTACGTTGTTGAACATTTGTTTGTTAAGATGAGACTAAAAGAAACAAAATCTTCAAGGAGAAACCAGAACGTAGATATAATAATCAAATTTTGACCAATACATATCTCTGTCTCTTTTACTTATCAATCTTCATCATGGCCGCACTTGCTCCTCCGACGCTTAGCAACGGCAAAGATTGTTATGGAGCTTTGAACATCTCTTCTTTCGGAATCTTGGAAACCTATAAAATTCCGAGTGTCATCTTCGGATACGCATTGCCTCTACTTGAGATACAAATCATTCTCATCTTTGTTCTCATCGTCTCTTCTCATATGTTCCTTAGACTTATGGGCATACCACAGTTCGTTTCTTACATGCTCGTAAGTTTCTTGTATTCTAAGCAAAGAGGTAATACTTTCTTGTGTCGCAAGTAATGAATCGTTTGTACTTTTTGAAAATTAGGCTGGTTTTATCCTTGGACCTCACCTGCTAAATTTGCTTGACTTTTCTTCGGACCGGTTATCGTTGGATGTCGCTTTGGACGGGAACGTAACGTTGGAAGGTGTGGCCAAGTTCGGGATGATAATGTTCACGTTCCTAATGGGCGTCAAGACCAACAAAAGAGCAGCGTTTCAAACTGGAAAACGACCAATTGTGATCGCGGTTTCGTCCTTTGTCGTGACAATGGGCACGGGGATGGCCTTCAGAAACTACCGTATCGACAAGGCTGATCCTCTCTATATGCCTTTGAGGCTGGCTCCAACAGAACGCACCGTGATTGTAGCGATTCAAGCGTTAACGCTGTTACCGGTGGTAACCCACCTCATACATGAGCTTAAGATTCCGAACTCTGAACTCGGCCGCCTAGCTATATCTATCTCCGCCTTCAACGATCTCCTCGCTTTTATCAATCTGATGTGCGTCTCCTACGTTGGAACTTACAGGTATATGCAAATAGCAGGACTCCTGGTAAAGTTATATACGTTTAACGGTGTCATACATTTTTTATACTCCCTCTGTTTCAATTTACTTGTCGTTATGAGTTTTTGCACACAGATTAAGAAAATATTTAGTTTTGCATATTTTCTATAAAAAACCACAATTACCTATACATATAACCACATTTCAACCAATAGAAAAATATAATAATAGATAAAATTAATAAATTTTGCATTGAAACTATAAAACAATATTTATTTTAAAATAAAAAAATTAGTCTAATCAAGATAATTTATATAAGAGAATTTTCTGGTTAAAATGGTTTAAGAATTAGTCAACAAAAACAATAATCATGGTCTAGACTTTAGACGATCGAGTGATATATTTACAGAAACCATTTTGAACAAAAATTAATACATAGATCACGTAAATGAGTGCCACATTAACTAATTAGTATATACATAACATTTTTTTGAAGATTTATTACAATATAGTTTGAAACGGTCATGCAGGTACGTATCACCGAGAACAGCCAACCGTGATGCAGCGGCAATGATCATCTTAGTGCTTGTGATCATATTCATCATCAGACCTACGGCTCAACGAATAGTCAACATTACCCCAGATGGCAAGGAAGTACGGAAACTCTACTTGTACGGAACAATCATGTCAGCAGTCGCCGCGAGCATTTACACAACGTTTTTCAATCAAATATACGTTCTAGGAGCCTTTATGGTTGGGATGGCGATCCCAGACGGTCCACCTCTGGGGTCAGCTTTAGAGGCTAAATTCGAGAGTTTGGCTACAAACGTATTTTTCCCCATCTCAATCGCGGTTATGACCATGAAAGGTGACATTATAAGGGTATTATATGCGTTCGATGACATATCGTTCAACATATTTCTGGTTGGTTTCACATTGGTTCTGAAAATGAGTGCCTCTTTTGTACCTTGCTTGATCTTCAAGTTACCTACTAGAGAGTCCATTATCATCGCCATGATTATGAACTATAAGGGTTTTGTTGACCTATGCTTCATTGAAGGCGCCGTAAATAAATGGGTAATTATTATTTTTATTACAAAACCCTAACTCATTCTACATGCATGATATAATGAACTAATGAGCTAATGTTTTTTTTTTTTCAATACAGAATTTGTCACAAGCAACGAACACGTTCTTGATGATGTACGTGTTACTGAACGCAGGGATTTTACCTACCATCGTGAAAGCATTATACGATCCAAAGAGGAAGTATATTGGATACGTAAAGAGAGACGTTATGCATCTGAAACCAAACTCTTACCTTAGGATTCTAACTTGTTTGCACAAACCAGACAACATCTCAGGCATGATCTCGTTGCTTCAACTGCTTTCTTCACCTCCCAACAACGAGAACAAAGACAAAGGATCAGTTATCGCGGTCACGGTGTTACACCTCGTGAAACTCGCGGGACGTGCGTTTCCCATCTTAGTACCACACGACAAGCGATCTAAGCCGCGTTTGCTTCAAAACTCTTACATACAAACAATGATGCTCGCGTTCAACGAGTTCCAACAAACGAATTTGGGAACTACGAGTGTTAACTCCTTCACAGCTTTCTCTCTTGAGCATCTTATGGATCAAGACATTTGTAATCTCGCTTTAGACCACCTCACGTCGATGATCATCGTCCCTTCTGGACGAAAATGGTCACCTGATGGATCATATGAATCTGACGATATAATGATCAGACGTGTGAATATTTCTCTCCTTGAACGTGCTCCTTGTTCTATTGGCGTGCTCAATAACCGAGGGCATCGTAACTTGAAGAGCAAGAAAAGTAGTAGTGGTACGGTTAAAGTCGGTGTGATCTTCATTGGTGGTAAAGATGATTGGGAGGCTCTCTCTATTGCGAAATGGCTGAGACAGAACCCTAGGGTGCGTCTCACGGTGATCAGATTCTTGTCCGGTCAAGAACCAGACAAGTCCAAGAATTGGGAGTACCTTGTTGATAACGAGGTGTTGAATGATTTGAAAGCAACATGGGCCTCCGCCATAAATTTCTCCTATACGGAGAAGATAATTGATAATGGTCCTGCTGTGGCAACAGCCGTTAGATTAGCGGCCGAAGAGCATGACTTGATGATTGTAGGGAGAGATCACGACGAAGATTCACTGGATTACTCGGGTTTGGTGGAGTGGATGGAGCTTCCGGAATTAGGAGTCATTGGAGATTTGCTTGCATCTAAAGAGCTAGGAACTAGGGTTTCTGTTTTAGTTGTTAAACAGCAGCAACAAACATGAATGAGTGTAACATGTCAATGGTCCAAGCTAACAAAAAAAGGTCTTCATGACATTAGACCATAATTAATCCGAGTTCTTAGGATGTGATTCTTAGCGAAAGTTAAGAAACTGTTTCTTAACTTTCGTTAAGTATCCCATTCTAAAAATCTCGGGTTAATCATGCTCTTATATGGGATATCCACATTGTAGATAATAAATGACATGTACAAAACATTTTTTTTTTCTCAATTCTTTTTGAATTAAAAGTTCATGATTCATACATAAAACTACACCTTAGGATTACACTGATTTTTTTCCAACACTAAACCATTATATAACCATTTTATAACTACACTGGACAACCATTATATAACTTTCAACCTAAATCTCCATAAGACCAAAGATGCACATGAGATCCCACGGAGACGAGTATAAGACACGTGAATCTTTGATCAAGCAGGACAAGGAAGTCGAATAGTGAATAGTCGTTGAAAATGCAACATGAAGCATTTATCGGTTCTGTCTGATTTTAGGAGTTTAGGACGCAAGAGAAGCCAATTTGTGGGGGATATCAAGTGGGTTTCCTCTTATGGAGCTAGGTTCTCTAGGAAAGACAAGCTTATGAGCGATGTTTATTTGTTCTCGGGTTACTCACAAGCCCCTGGGCTGCGGCCGCAGCAGCCTTCTATGATCACGGACCAAGTCGAGTTCTAGATCACCCTCATATCTTCTCTTCTCTATATATGATGCACTTGCACACACGCAGCAATTTTCATCCGTTGTGATTTTACTCCCATTTATACAAATTGTTATTTGATATTCGAGAATACATATCCAACGGCCCGTTCATCTGCTACAGATTAAAAAAAACAATGAGAACATTAATGGACCAAGGATAACTTAAAATTAACTAAAACCAAAATTATTGAAACACCTAGAAACCAAAAGGCCCAAAACTTGTAATCGCCATAAAGCCATGTAATCGTAGCCGTACAACCTTGTAGAGATCAAGGACCCACGTCAGCTATCCAATACAATTCAATAATAAAAAATTGGCGCTCATGGCGGGGAAACAAAATTCCCGAATTTTTGATTTTGGATTTAAGTATTTTTTAAACGCACGCGCTTTAGTAACAAAAGATCTGATCCATCCATTCATAACAGCCTTTCACATCCAACAACAAACATTCCGCCACGTCACTAATCCTTGTCTCAGTATCTCAACCAATAAGATCTCTTCCTGTATTCCTATATAAACAAAGAAGACTAGAGTCTCAAACAGTCAACAAATCATCACATCTAAAAAGTTAAAACCTCACTCTCGTAATCAATCGTAGCAATGGCGCCCAAAGCAGACAAGAAACCAGCAGAGAAGAAACCGGCAGAAACCACCACCACCGCCGCTGCAGCAGAGAAGAAGCCAAAAGCCGGGAAGAAGCTTCCCAAGGATCCCGCCGTTGCCGGAGACAAGAAGAAGAAGCGTTCGAAGAAGAACGTCGAGACATACAAGATCTACATCTTCAAGGTTCTGAAGCAGGTTCATCCCGACATCGGAATCTCGAGTAAGGCAATGGGGATCATGAACAGTTTCATCAACGACATCTTCGAGAAACTTGCCGGCGAGTCTTCCAAGCTTGCGAGGTACAACAAGAAGCCGACGATTACTTCAAGGGAGATTCAGACGGCGGTGAGATTAGTCTTGCCTGGAGAGTTGGCGAAACACGCTGTTTCTGAAGGGACCAAGGCGGTGACCAAGTTCACGAGCACTTAGATCTGTAGTGACTTGTAATGGTTTTTAAGTCTATTAAAATGTTGTGTAATTTGGTGATTATGGCTTTTTTTTTTGTATGGAACAGATATTTAAATGAAACTTCTTAATTTTCTAATGTTTTGGTTATTTTGCTTCCCTGCAATTGTTGATTTTAGTTCAGAATCGAACAACGTTACATGTTGCGATGTGCATATACTAAGACTAAGAGAGACAGTCATCTCTCTAACTGTTGAAGCAAAGAACATCGAATCCTACTGTTAAATTAGCTTTATGTTCTTGAGTTGTTCGAGTAGGAAGAAAGTTGTCTTTTTTTCGGATTCATAAGATCCCCACACAACCAAAGGTGTTATTCAGTGCATTTTTTTCAATTTTTAGTTAGGTATTTTACTTATAGTTTTCAGCTATGCCTTGTATTTGGAATTCAATAATAATATTTTTATTTATCGAAAAAGAGTTGTAAATATCCTTAATAATGGAATGATCCGCAACTTCTGAAACAAACTATACAATCTTGCTTACCATGACAATTCAAAATACAATTCCTTAGGCATATTGGGTCTGGAACTGCCGGCCTTATTGTTTTCATCCTGCAGACAACCACAAATTAGTATTACATACATATATGTTAAAAGGTATATAATATGTGTGTAAACATACATGATGTGAAGTGTGAACACTACGGTATGAAAACTGATGGTCCGCAACCTATGAGACAACCTATGGAACATCTTCCGGCCTTGTTGTTTCCATCCTGCACACAACCACAAATTATTATTACATATATATTAAAATGTATATGTATCTATGCGCAATGACATTGATCCATTAGGTTTTTATGATAAAGGTTGATCTGGAACAATATCTAGATGAATAAATGTGATAACTGTATAAGTTACGTTCGGTGTGAGATGGTCTTCCTTTGACATGTTTTCCATTCCACTGCATGCTTCTAGATGACATTCGATCATTATTAGTGTCATCATCATCATACACACCTTTTGCGTCATTCTCTTAAACAGTTTTGTTGTTTAATATATATATGATTTGTGTGTATGTATATTTAATGAAGGAAAAAAAAATCAAACACTAATTGTCATTGTAATACAATTAATTTTGTGACTGCCCTCTCGATAGCAAATCTCTATTACTTTATTTTATTAGAGCCGGTCCGTGCTACGCGCAAAATATGATGTATTTTTCTTGTAAAAAATATACTTCTTTTATAACCATTTTTTTGTTTGCTCGTTACGACTTCAGTGGTTTTCAAATTGGTCATCCTTTTGAAGTGATATTAAGATGTCAGTACCATTAATTCTTAGACGTCAAGTATTATTCGGTTTGTGTTTGATGATTTTTTATATTTTTAATTTTATCTTGCTCTTGTTAATTTGATAATTGTTGCACTACTGCTGGTTTTGTGTAGGTATTGTAAAGTTTATTTAGGTTCATTTGGTTTGTTTGCCAAAAGTAAAACCTTTTTTTGAATATTATTTTATTGGGATAAAAGTTCTTTCCCGTTAAAAAAGAAAAAAGAAAGTGCTTCTTCTTCGTTCTTATATTTACATATAAAGTGGCTTGGCAGTTGATGAAGTTTTTATTTTTGGCTTTACAATGGCAATGGTTTATTTGGAAACTAAACTTTACAAATGTTCAACTCTGTTTGCTACGTCGAGTTTATTGACATCACCCTTGTGGGAGATCATGTTTTGCTAAATCTTGTTCTCTCAGTCTATGAATTCTGTACCAGTTAGTAATTTTGGAGTCATATGGTTTTATGCAAGTCATTTTTCTTCTTCTATGGTAGAGTTAAGGATGGTCAACTCATGCTTCGTTTTCATTACAATCATGAACCTCATAAAGCGATGTGTCGAGTGAGCTAACTTATATTCCTTTTGAGAATAGGCAGAAACATATTTGATCTTGGTCCAGCATTTATACGGGTTACTTAAGTTAGTATTTGTTTAGAAATTCACAGTCTTCTATCTTATCTGACCCTAGCTAATAAAAAGGCAGAAATTTTAAGTATTTAGTCTCGAATTTCATTAATAAAGTCACAATATTTTTTAGTATTTTACCTTTGAAGATTTTTAATATGATTATATGTAGAGTTGTGTAATAGATCTTGTGTGACTATGTAAAATTATTTTCTTAAAGTAGGAAAGTGGTATCATTTTTTGGATTTTGCTAGCGTTTACAACTATTAACATTTTTTCACATTTCAAATGGATTTGTAATTGGGTCGAAGTTAAAATAATGTTTGAAATTTAATCCAAAAATTAGAAATGTATAGGGAGGGATACCATACAGTAACCTATATTGTTAGACTATAGTTTATATAAAGTACTTTAGAAAATTGAATTGGAAGGCATAAATAGCTGCCACATAGGATAAATTTATTTTTTAATTAGTAAAAACTTATTTTTATATATTTTTAAATGTTTCTCAATTAATATATAGGAGATCTAGTGGATGATAGAGTCTACATAGTCTAGCGGTTGGTATAGGACTATTGTTGTTGAAGATCCATGATTCCATGTGTAGTAAATAAATATAGTAAAACTCGCTTTACTGGTCCGACACTACAAAATTAGTTCTTTGTACTTTGGAAGAAGGTTTTGATTTTTGATAGACACCAATTTTGATAAAGCGGTGTATCTGTGTCTATCCGTTTATAGATTCATTATCTCTGATTGGTGTCTAGTGGTTCGTAATGGTATTATACATATCATTAAGCTCAAAAATTCAAGGGAAACTAACTCTCTCTCTTTTACGCCGAGGGTCAGAGGTTCAGACTTCATACCATTCGACTTAGACATCTCTCTCTCTTAGGCCGTGTTCAGACCTCAAACTACAAACTTACACATTTTCTCCCAATTTTCTCAGTATCTTCAGGATGTCATCTATCTTCTTCCTCTTGTTGATATCTTCAACAATCTCTCTTGCGTGTTCCAAAGTTTGCATCCCATAGAAAAGAGAGACAACAAGTCGATGACTCAACTGATTCTGATCACAAAATGTTCTACTATGATCAGAATCTTGATCACTTTACGTTCAGACTGGAAAGTTATATCACATTTAAACAAAGATGCAACAAATTCCTAAACAGACTCATCTTTCAACTCCTACAAACTAAGAATCATAGTTTTATTCTTCAAGAATCAATGAGAATATTTTTTAAAATATGTTATTATCTAATCTAATATGATCACAAGTTTAAGTTTTAACCAACCCATAAAAAAAAATCTTATAGAGTTTTCATGGGTGTCTCACTTTATGTTATGTGTTTTACATATATCATGTTATTTACTTTTCTTCCATATATCATGTTATTTACTTTTCTTCCACTCTAAATTTGTATATTTAAGATATACCAAAGTATAAAACATTTTTACATATTTTGCTTCTTTTTCTTCTTTCTATTGTTTTTATTTTGCTTTCGTTTTCCTTTTTATTGTTTATTTTTTTCTTATTTTTAAATTCAGACATACCGTTTTAATATTAATCGGTCCAACTACTAATTAATGGATAAGATTGTTCATGTTACAATAGTCTTTCTCTTTCTCTTATTTTTTCCTTTTTTTGGATAAATCTCTTATTTTTTCTTATTATTTACAATATGTCACTCCCATCTATCTTCCTCCTCATGATATTAATATCCAACTATCTCTTTTTCATATTCTAAATTTGCTCAACTTGGGAATTTCCCAAAATGCTAAGGAATGCATACAAAAGACAAGACAAACAACAAGTAGATGTAGGTCTCTTGTGACTTTTATGATTTTACTATACTACTTTGTACATACTCTCGACCACTTCACGTTCACAGTTAAAAGCTATATGACATTTCAACAAATATATTCCATTGATTCCTAGAATTGAGCTGGTTCTAAAGACAACACACTGATTTAAGCGTTTCTTGGAAAATAATCGTTGTTAAAGCACGGTTTGTCGGTCATCGATTTTCTTCGTGACAATGATATTATGAAGTATATATGATGCATCATAGTTAACACAAGTATGTTGGAATATTTTAACTCAGCACAAGCCTTGGCAGACTGAAAATTTTCAGAATTCACAATTTCTTATAATATAAGAAAATAAATAAATATATAAATAAAATAATATAATTTATTCTATTATTTTTTCATCAGCTCTAAACGATGCCTTTGAACATAATAACTTCCTGGATACCATCTACTCCGAAGTAGCTCAAAACAATAACAATCTGTATTCGGTTGCCTCCACATGCAAAGTCACTAACACCAGCCATCCAAACAAATGAACAATAATACTGATTTACTTGGCCAGTTTTTTCAGGTGACTTTTTTTTTGGGGTTAAAACTATGTCTACTTATGAGCATATATTTTTCTTATAGTTAATATACAATCAATTAATACACGATAAATTAATAAATAAAAATTAGCTCATTCGTCTAATTTCAAGTTTGTTCAAAATATAACAAATCTGTAAAATAATTAAATTTATGTAGATATATATATATATATATATATATATATATATATATATATATATATATATATATATATATATATATATATTATAAAATATATAAATCCAAACATCTAAAGTAAATTAATAAAAAAATGTATTTTAACCATTATTAATTTATAAAGTTTTTGCTACATAATTAGTAGCTTAGAGCAACCTCAACGCTAAACATCTCAAAAGCAGGTTCTAATTTTAAAAGTGATAATAATTTAATCATGTATAAATTTATAATTAAACTTTATTTCTGTTAAGCAAAATAAACCAAACAGAAATAGATATATGACAGTTCAGTATCAAAGAGGTACTTGGAAGTCCTTACTGAAAAATCGTATCTTTCAAATAATCAAAGAGGTTTAAACTGTTCCATCATTTCAACAAATTTTAAAAGTTTGTATTCTCATATAGAAAAAGATAAAAGAAATTGACTGCGATTTTAATATTAAAGTTTACTTAATATAGTTATGCTAAACACATAACATTTAAATTTATACATTTTCAAACACAAATTATATTTTCACTCTTCTATTATATAACATTATTTTTTAAGTATTGATTGTCGTACAAAATAATTAGTTTATTAAATGATTCAAAATGATTGACTAACAAATATAAATTATATAAAAATTACTTTTAAAAAAACATCTTTTCTCCCGCGCATTTACGCGCGGGGTGGTTTCCTAGTAGTATTAAAAACAACTTCAAAATAAAGTAGGAGTCAATATCTAACAACCATAAGAATTGATGTCAAACAATTTATTTTTCTCCTTCTTTTGCTGATCTCTATTTATTATTTGTTGTGTTCGATTATTTATATTAAGTTATCATCACACCATTCACCACCAGCCGCGATGGCTAACTCACAACCGTCTCCCTTACGTAACCTAGATCAATCCGGAAACTACACAAGAAACATCCCTCTCGATCTCGTTTTAGATATTCTCTCGAGACTTCCAGCGAAACCCCTCCTCCGATTCCAAGCAGTATCGAAGCTATGGCTCTCCATCATCCGCAGCAAAGATTTCGTCGATACGTTCCTAACTAGGTCAAAAACTCGCCCTCGTCTCCTCTTAACGTTCAAGCACTTCGATTCACGTAAGCGTTTCATCTTCTCGGCTCCCGAACACGAAGATGACAAAACATCCTCCACAGTCATGGCCAGACACGACATGACGTTCTCGGATCTCGTCTACTACATCGAATCTCGTCCTGTGAACGGTCTGGTTTGTTGCATACGTGGTTCATCGATCGCCGTTTGTAACCCCACCACTAGACAAATCGTAACGTTACCAGATGTTATTGCACCTAACGGAAGAGACGTATACGCACGTCTAGGGTACGATCCTGTCGGAGAACAATACAAAGTCTTGTGTGTGATGATGTTTGACGGTTTTGACAGCAGTACATCCGACAATATACAACAAGAGCATTTTGTTTTCACGATGGGATCTGGACAAAAGACGTGGAAAAAGATTGAGACAGTAACTAAAGATCCTTACCGCTGCATGAAAGGGGAGGTTTGTATCGATGGTGTTGTATACTATGGAGTTGGTCACAAAAGGATAGCTAGATTTGATGTTGTGTCGGAGAAGATTGAGTTTATTCAAGGACCTGAAGATTATAACGCAGTCTCATGTTATGCAAGACTTATAACTTACCAAGGAAAATTAGCTTGTTTAAGCTATGACTTCTACGTGACATCTGAGATGTATATGTGGATTCTCCAAGATGCTGAGAAACAAGAATGGTCGAGCGTTGTGACTTGTGATGTGAATAGTGAGTGGAGAGATTTGTGGACTGAGGAGAGAGTTTTGTGCACTGGAGAAATTCGTAGCAACGAGGCTATACTGGTTTCAAGATCCTTGAAGTCATCTGAGCTTTTTTGTGTTTATTATTGCGATATGATTAGTAAGCGTGTTAGAAGAGCTGAGGTTGATGGAATCGCGGATGATGAGTTTAGAGATGTCCATGGAATTGGTGAGCATGGTCGTGAGATGTTGTGTTTCCCTGGTCACGTTGAGAATATTATGTTCTTCTAACGTTATCACTTTTTGGTAGTTTCATTATAGCTTCCCCTTTACGTGGCTTACCTTTTATTCTCATTCGTTGGCTTTAATTCCATTTTCAAAAATATGTTTGTTGCTTTGTTTATATATGCTTTCAGAGATTTTACCTTGTTCGATTTAGATTTTGAGTTTGTCTCTAATAAATTAGCAGAAGACAAAGCTTCTTTATTTAACTCTCAGTAATGGTAATCTTATCTTTTGATTTTTGAGTTTAAAACTATATCTACAGACTAATGTAATTCATTGCATTGCATCTATGATCCATTAAGAAAACTCATTCCAACAATTGTGAATTTAATTTTATTAATAGGTCTAGGTTCAAAACTACTATAGGTGTTAGTGGAACGGTTGATCTGGACCTAGCGAATTGATAAAAAATTGGAGTATATTCAGGGATTAAAGGAAGATTGGTTTTGGGTACTTTTTTTAAGTTTTTGGATAATATATGTTAATATAATTTAGTTCTTGGGACATATGGAGTTAATTTCCAATGTCCTAGTGGTCAGTGGTGTTGTAGCTTATTATCTCTTGTACTCTTGTAACTTATATCAAACTACTCGACTTGTAAGGATTTGTCATGGACTTAAGAATCAAACTGCTTGTGTCTATATAATCACATTCACTCTTTATATTTACAACAAGAATTTTTATTCACAACACCAAAGTTATCTCCTCTCTTTAATCACATATATAGCTTCTTTTTTTAAAACACCTTTGAGTGATCAATTGATGATACATTTCATCAATATTTAGATTAACATTTTGATTAAACCTTTGAAAAATTTTCCATTCATTATGGTGGTCAAGTTATTCTCGTTTATTTTACTAATATTTGTTTTTATGTGTTTATAAAAACAATTAATGTTTAAAATATTATCGTTTAATATGTCTTATTTAATAAATAAATTTTACCTTTACAAAACAATGTTTAATTTTTTTTAAGAATCTCTAATTAAAAAACTAGCATTGTAACACAAAATCTATGGATTTCTTAACTAAAATTCTTAACTACTTTTAGTTCCTTAATTTTTTTTTTTGGCATCATCACTTTTAGTTCCTTTTTTTGATAATCCACTTTTAGTTCCTTAAATAATCAATAAGAAATCCTAATGGATTTCTTTGGTTAATCATGCTCTAACAAAAGTGCATTTTGTTTTTTTTTTTGTTTTTTTAATGAATGGCATAATCAGAATTTAAAAAGAACCTATTTTTGATCAACGCTGTATTACAATTTACAATCAACGATTTTTTTTAGGACCTGTTTTGATCGTTTGTTCTTGTACAAAATACGTGGTATTTTCAAGGAAAAAAAAATCAAGTTTATAGTTATCCTTATTTTTGTACATTTTCTTGTTTTCAATATGTATATATGTTTTTAGCTAATACTATTGTTTTATTTTTATTTTATCTTAGCTAGGGTTGTGGAAGTACTCATCACCAAAGCCGCCATGAAAGATTCACAAAAATCGTCTCTCTCACGGCGTAGACGTGGCCTAAAACATGTCCGAAACTGCACAACAACAACCATTCCTTTCGATCTCATCATCAAGATACTCTCTCTACTTCCTGCGAAATCTCTCTTCCGATTCCAATCCGTGTCGAAGCTGTGTTTCTCTACCATCCGCAGCAAAAGTTTTGTCGACTCGTTCCTGACTAGGTCAAAGACTCGTCCTCGTCTCTTTTTACACTTCCAGCACTCTGCATCCAAAAAGTGTTTCATCTTCTCGGCTCCTGAACAAAACCACAACAAATCATCCACAGTCATGGCCAGATACGAGATGCCGCTCGTGGAACCCGGCTACTACTTGAACTCTGGTTCTGTCAACGGTTTTGTCTGCTTCAGAGGTGACGATTTTTGTAATACTATCATTGTTTATAATCCCACAACTAGACAAATGGTGAAACTCCCTGACGTTACACCCAATGGAAGACACATGCACGCATGTCTTGGGTACGATCCAGTTGAAGATCAATACAAGGTGTTGTGTGTGATGATGATGTTGGGCTCTGAAAGACAAGATACGCATCATGAGCATTTTGTTTGCACTGTGAGTTCATCTCAGATTAAAGAGTGGAGAAAGATCGAGAACCCGACCGGATATAATTACGACAATGTCTATGGAGAGACATGCATTGATGGTGCTCTATACTATGGAGTTGGAGAGTCAAGATTAGTTAGGTTCGATGTAAGATCTGAGAAGATTTTGTTTATCAAAACACCCAAGAAGTCATATATATCTACCACATACGATTCCACTCTTATAAATTACAAGGGAAAATTGGGTGGTGTAGATTATTCTTGCGCAGAATATTCGATGACATTGTGGGTTCTTGAGGATGCGGAGAAACAGGAATGGTCGAGCATGAAGTATGATTTATCTTCTCGGTGGGAATATTTATTTAAGGGCCACGTAGTGTCTGAAGGAGTGATCCATACGGGTGAGCTTATTGTGTTTCATCCATGGTTAGAGTCATCATCTAAGCCTTTTTATGTTCGTTATTATGATTTTAATAAAAAGAGTATAAGAAAAGTCAAGATCAGAGGACTGAAAGATGGTCATTTCAGACGCACCCATGGGTTTCAGGAGATGTTGTTATGTTATCCAGGTCACATTGAGAATATTAGGTTTTTGTGAGGATTTTCTTTATTATTATTCACTGGTGCATGGTTCATTAGTTTATTCCATTCAGTTTTATCGTTAATCACTTGATTATGATCTGAGTTTGTTAGAAACAATTAAGTTCCTGGGATCTTGGGTTGGTTTCTGTCAAGTTTTCTAGTTAGTAATGGACTGTGAATAAACAAACAATCGACGAAGAAGAGAGTGATATGAGCTTTAAGCAATGTGTTTAACTTAATCTCTCTTTCTGAGAATAAAGTTTATTGTTGGTAGTTGGTTTTTAAGTTTTAGTAATCATAAAAAATTTGGTATACAATTTAATTAAAAAGTTGCTTAAATCTATATTAAGAAAAGTCCAAAATCACTAGCAATCCAGAACAGAGAAAACTGACAAAACGTAGAAGATAGTGAGTGACACTTAATGTTTTTTTTTTCTCTTGAGAAAAAAATGACCTTTGATGTTTACGAATTTGGATTAGAAGATGTGACTACGTATCGATCGGCCACAACGAAATTCTAGCACATCCACTACATCAGGTTTACAGATTCATCTAGGGTTTTCATCATCACACACTTCTGTTTCAACATTTGTAACAAACAATCAAAACCGACCTGTAATTAAATTGCACCAACTCTGGTTTAGCTAATGGTTGGTTAAATATCAATGTCTTCAAATTAATCAGGGGCTAACCAGTGAATTTGAGTTCACGAAATCAACACATTATTTTTTTACCTTAGATGTTTATTTTAAAATTCATCTAAAACTTGACAAACCCCAAGTTAAAAATATGCTAAACAAACGATGATATATAACGTTTACGTTGTTCGTAAAAACGTTGACGTTGTCTCTTGTGGTGTTTTTGGTTTATGAGGTGTTTGTTCCTCTTTAGGTTTTAGGGCTAAGAGACTTCGGCTCTGGACCTCTGGCGATAATGGGGATTGAGCGGGACACAAATGCTTCAGTGCAGTGCAGAGCCGATCCATAAATTTCACTCGTATCATTGGGTAGTCACTGGCTATGGTTTATATTGAATTGTCTCGTTAACTTCCGTCTTTATCACCAGTTTTTGGTCAATTATCTCTGATACATCCTCCATCCATCTAATAAGCCTCAATATCCACTAATCAAATAAATATTCAACGATTAGATTAGATTAAATAAATAAATAAAAATTCAATTAAAAAAAAAGTTGAAATAAACTCCCAAGATACATGGTAATAGTTACGAAAATAAAAATAAACAAAACAAAATACATGGTAATAGTTAGGAAAACAAAAATTAAACTAAAAATTAAGTTTATATGTATCCTTCTTTCTGTCCATTATCCTTATTTCAGAAATATTTATATATATATATTTTTTTTTTTTGATTAACCTGGGGTATCCTAGGTCTATGGAGAGACCTAGACTAATCCCCAAGGGGAGGTGCAGCCCACGGATAGACCCTCTCTCTCCGGATATTCAAATGGGCCCTAAAGCATAGGTCTATATTCGTGTTAGGTGACCAGGATAATTGTGTGTCAGCCCGGTCAAATGTATATATATGTTTTTTAGCTATTATACGACTCCCTTTTTTTATATTTTTTTCTAGCTAGGGTTGTGGATTTCACCAGCAAGCAGCCATGGAAGATTCACAACCATCTCCATCACGACTTGACCTAGACCATACCGGAAACTGCACAACAACAACAACCATTCCTTTCGATCTCATCATAGAGATACTCTCACGACTTCCTGCGAAATCTCTCCTCCGATTCCAATCCGTGTCGAAGCTGTGTTTATCTACCATCCGCAGCAAATTTTTTGTAGACTTGTTCCTGACTAGGTCAAAGACTCGTCCTCGTCTCCTTTTCACGTTCTATCTCCAAAATTCCTGGGATAAATTCCTCTTCTCGGCTCCTGAATACGACAACAACGAAGATGACAAATCCTCCAGTGTCTTGGCAAGATACGACATGATGACAATCTCGGAACTCGACGTGATCTGTGGTTCTGTCAACGGTTTCATCTGCTGTAAAAGTGTTGTTTCTTCGACGAAACTTAATAAGATCACCGTTTATAATCCTACCACTAGACAGATTATAAAGTTGCCTGACGTTACATCCGACACAGGATACGTGGACGCACTTTTTGGGTACGATCCAGTCGAAGATCAATACAAGGTGTTGTGTGTGAACCGTAAACCCCAACAACAGGAGTTTTTGGTTTGCACTCTGATTTCATCTCAGAAACAAGAGTGGAGAAAGATGGAGAACACGATAGGAGATAATTCCCAATGTTTATACCTTGGACAGGTATGCATTGATGGTGCTGTATACTACAGCGTTGGTGAGTCAATGATAGTTAGATTCGATGTTAGATCCGAGAAGATTGAGTTTATTAAAACACCCAAAAAGTCGGCAGCATTCAAAACAGCTCTTGTAAATTACAATGGTAAATTTGGCCGTTTAGAATGTTCTCACAAAAAGAAAATGGTGACATTATGGGTTCTTGAGGATGTTGAGAAACAAGAATGGTCGAGCATGACGTATGCCTTTCCTTATCAACGGTGGGAAATTTCACATGGGGTTTCCGTAGTGCCTCAAGATGGGATCCGTTGGGCCTTTACTAGGAAGTCTCGTCTACCATTTCGTGTTTGTTATTATGATTTTAATAAAAAGAATGTAAGAGAAGTGGAGATCCGAGGAATGGAGGATGGTGATCTCAGACCTATCGATGGGTTCGGTGTGGTAGATGCTAATGCAGGTCACATCGAGAATATTAGGTTTTTGTGAGGATTTTCTTTATTATTATTCACTGGTGCATGGTTCATTAGTTTCTTGTGGTGTTTTTGGTTTACGGGGTGTTTGTTCCTCTTTAGGTTTTAGGGCTAAGAGACTTCGGCTCTGGTGATAATGAATTGTATTTGGTAATCACTGGCTTTGGTTTATATTGAATTGTCTCGTTAACTTCCGTCTTTATCACCAGTTTTTGGTCAATTATCTCTAACTAATACATCCTCCATCCATCTAATAAGCCTCGATATTGCTTATCCTTGAATACAGCTTCTATCCATCTAACTCGTAGCTCCTCTAAAGTAATTATGTATGTTAATCCATGAGGAAGAATCTTCAACTTTTTTTTTCAACTTCCAAATGACAAAGACACGCATTAGGTAACCCGGCTTTGGAGCATACCGTTTTTCTCTCGGTGGGGGAATTACTAAAATTTTCCACTAATCAAATAAATATTCAACGATTAGATTAAATAAATATATAAAAAATTCAATTAAAAAAAGTTAAAATAAACTCAGGCAGCACATGTTGTTCATAAACAAAACAAAATACATGGTATTAATTGTTAGGAAAATAAAAATAAAACTAAAAAAATAAATCTAGAATTATCCTTCTTTCTGTGCATTTTCCTTTTTTTCAATATGTATATATATGTTCTTTTAGCTAATATACGACTTTTTTTTTTATCTAGCTAGGGTTGTGGATTTGACCAGCAAGCAGCCATGGAAGATTCACAACCATCTCTCTCACGACAACGACTTGACCTAGACCATGCCGGAAACTGAACAACAACAACAACAACCATTCCTTTTGATCTCATAATAGAGATACTCTCACGACTTCCTGGGAAATCGCTCATCCGATTCCAATACGTGTCAAAACTCTGGTTCTCTACCATCCGCAGCAAATTTTTTGTAGACTTGTTCCAGACTAGGTCAAAGACTCGTCCTCGTCTCCTTTTCACGTTCTATCTCCAAAACTGTTAGGTTTATTAGCGGATTACTTAACCTAAACCTTGTTCTACAGCTATATTTCTTTAGCTGTAACTTGATTCCTTTGTCTTGATACACTACGTTTTGTTTGTTTTGCAGGTAAGAAAGACAAGACACAAGCTTTGTTAACCCAGTTCCCAATTGGTACGTCTGGGGGAAGAGCTAAGCTTCCAATTCACTATCTCAAGTAATAAGGAGATCAATACAAGAGATAAACCTTTAAGCAACTAACAACCGAAGCTTAATCAAGAACTACTAGCACCTAGTTCTTCCTATCCGATTGCAACACTCCTCAGGTAAGCTAAGACGATCTTTTAACCAAGACAATCTCTTGTTACCTTCTTCTGCAACCTGATCTTTGTTTTCACGTGTGTGTAAAGTAACTCTCCTCTGTTTCCTTTTATACAGGTTTTGACGAAACCCTAAGGAGCACCTTTCTTGGGCTCTTGCTCATTAACTCTACCGTAAGCCCACTAACAGATATAAACAACGTATGGGCTTCTGATTGTGTAAAGCCCAAGCGGAGGTATTGAGACAATATCTTCACAATCTCCACCTTTGTCTCTATCCGACCTTTCGAGAGCTTCAGACGGTAACTCCACCATCGACTCACACTTCCTTTATGTCATGATCCAACCTCTTGGTTCATCGACAATCTTCTCCTTCCTTGCCGGAATCTCCTCCGGACGAATTTGCTTCACTTTCCCTTTTGCTTAACTACAAAAGACCTACATGCAATCATCGATCTTGAGTTCTCTCTTCAACTCCACCTTCCGAAGATCTTCGTCTCTTCGCTTAACCGCAAGATCTTCCTTTCGTAAATCGGTTTCCACCTCGAGGTAAAATACTCAATATTTTTCTTAAATCCAAAAAACTTTAACCAGTAACAGATTTGTCGACTAATCTTACTGATTTTTTTCAGATTTTCCTGACGAACTGACGAACACTTGAAACTGTCCTCAAACATTCTTCCTGTCTTGGTAACCTGCTACTCATTTCCAATTTCTTCCAGTGTTACGCTAACCTTGTAAAGACTCTGACAGTCTTCGTCTTATCTGCAGTTTGACGAATACTTCAAGAAATAATCTTCCAAGATACTCCAACTGTAAGGTAATATAGAAATCTTCTTGTAGCAATTTATGAGTTAACCCTAGTGGAAAAACCCGTAAGAATTAACTCTGCTAAACCCAATAAATGCTTGTCTTTAAGAAAACCCATTTGACCTCTGAGAAAACCTTAATAGAAAACCATTAATCTCCTGATACCGTAGATTAACTTTAGATTACCCACTTATCTTCTGAAGAACCGTAGATAAGTATTATTAGAAACAACCATTAATCTCCTGAAAGACCGTAGACTAATGCTCCTTCAAATTTTACCATTTGAAAACCATATATGTCGATTCCTTTATATATATACCAATACTGAAATCTTCAGTATCTGTTCATGTCCCTTTTGCGAGGTCTTTCAATCGACAAAACAAGAACCTGCGGGACGCTTCAAGTTTACTACCGGATAACCTTGAGAAGGCCAAGGCACTTCTCGAAACTTCTACCACGTAAACTCTTTGTTAACATGTCTGCTGCATTCTCTGTAGTGTGAACTTTCTGAACTTTGACTGAACCTTCTTCTATTATATCTCGAATAAAATGATACTTATTCGCAATATGCTTTGTTCTGTCATGATGCACACTGTTCTTAGCTAGACATATAGCACTCTGAGAATCGCAATTTAACTTGAAAGAATCTTGTTTGAAACCTAATTCTTCACATATTGCTTTCAACCAGATACCTTCTTTTGTAGCTTCTGATAAGGCCATATATTCAGCTTCTGTTGTAGATAGGGCAACTACTTGTTGTAAACATGACCTCCAACTAACCGTATTACCTCCCACTTTAAACACATAAGCTGAAACTGATCTTCTTTTGTCTAAATCCGTAGAGTAGTCTGAATCTGAAAATCCTTCTATATCAAATTTCTCTGATTTTGTGAATGTTAGACATATGCTAAAAGCTCCTTTAAGATACCTTAGAACCCATTTAACAGCCTCCCAGTGATCTCTTCCTGGATTTGCCATGTATCTACTCACTAATCCCACGGCATATCCCAAATCTGGTCGAGACCCAACCATGGCATACATTATGCTCCCTACTGCACTTGCATAGGGAACTGTATCCATTCTTCTTCTCTCTGTTTCTATCTCTTCTGGTTTCAAATTTCTTAGCTTAAACAGAGAGTTACTAGGAGTTACGACTGCCTTACTTTCTTCCATGTTGAAAGTTCTCAGAACTTGTTTGATGTATCTTTCCTGAGATAGCTTTAGAATCCCACTTTTCCTATCTCTTAAGATATCCATCCCTAAAATTCTCGAAGCTGGTCCAAGATCTTTCATCTCGAACATTTCGTTCAAACTTTTCTTCAACATCTTTATCTTCTCAATGTCTTTAGACGCGACAAGCATATCATCGACATAGAGTAATAAGTAGATCATATCTCCTACGGTCTTCCCTTTTGTAAATACACATGGATCCTTAGTGCATCGTTTAAACCCTTGTGACTTCATGAATTCATTAAACTTCTGATTCAACTGTCTTGGGGATTGCTTAAGTCCATATAGTGATTTCTTAAGAAGACAGACCATATTTTCTTTTCCTTTTTCCACAAACTCTTCAGGCTGATCCATATAAATAATCTCATCCAGAACTCCGTGTAGAAATGCCGTTTTAACATCTAGTTGCTCCAATTCCAAGTCGTAGTTTACCACAATAGACAGCATGAGTCTTATTGACACATGTTTAACCACAGGCGCAAATACCTCATTGTAATCTATTCCCTCAACTTGAGTATAACCTTTTGCCACTAGTCGTGCTTTGAATCTTGGATCTTCTATCCCTGGAATTCCTTCTTTATATTTATAAACCCATTTGCACCCTATAATCTTTTTCTTTTCTGGTCTTGGAACCAACTCAAAAGTATCGTTCTTATCCAGGGATGCTTTTTCCTCTACCATAGCTCCTTTCCATTTACTCCAGTCTTTGCTTCGTTTTGCCTCTGCAACAGTTTTGGGTTCATCCAATTCAATGCTTGCTGCGCAGGCAAGAGCGTAAGCAATGACTGAGTCTCCATCTTCGTACCTGGAGGGTGGTCGTATTATTCTTCGTTCTCTGTCTCTAGCCAACACATAATTTTCTAAATTTAGTGTATTGTCTTCCTCGGGTTCTCCATCCTTATCGGATTCACCTGAGGACTCTGAGCTTCCATGTTCTGAGTTAACTCCACCTTGACCAGTAGACTCATTATTATTGTTAACAGCTCCTTCTTGGCTAGAGGTTCCATGAGAAGAAGGTCCTTCTATCAGCTTTGTTCTAAATGTCACTTTCTTAGTTTTCTTAGGTTCTTGTACTTCGTTCTCTGAGAAGTCATAAATCCTTTCCTCGTCGAATACAACATTTCTGCTGTTAGAGCACTTTCCTTCTTCTGGTATCCATACTCTATATCCTTTAACACCTTGAGGATATCCTAAGAAAACCCCTTTTATGGCTCTAGGGCTCATCTTGTCTTGAGTTATGTGAACATAAGCCACACATCCAAACCGTCTTAAGTGGCTATAATCAATCTTCGACCCTGTCCAAATCTCCTCTGGAATCTTGAACTTCAGTGATGCATTTGGAGAACGATTAATGAGATAAACCGCAGTACAAGCTGCTTCAGCCCAAAACGTTTTTTCCAGACCAGATTCTGACAACATGCACCGAATCTTTTCTGCTATAGTTCTATTCATCCTCTCTGCAACCCCATTCTGTTGGGGAGTGTAAGTACACGTTTTGTGCCTGTTAATCCCTGCATCACTGCATAACTTATCCATCTTGACATTACAGAACTCAAGACCATTATCCGTTCGAAGATACTTAATCTTCTTCTTGGAAATATTTTCTACAAGAGTCTTCCACTCCAAGAAATTTTCATACACCTCATCTTTGCTCTTCAGAAATCTGATCCAGACTTTC